CCCCAAAACCCCAAAACCCCATCAGGAATTCAGAATAAACAATAATCGATTTGATTGAAAATGATTTTAATTAGAGCGTAATCAGGATTTAATTTATTCTCATTAATTGATAATCCACATATGATCAGGCATTTATAAATTAGGCTTATATAACATATCTATCCTCTCTTTTAACTCCTTCTAATACTTATCATACATTACTAATCTCAACTATATCTAAGAGCTATCTCCATCATTATTGCTTTTCTTATCTTCAAGAGTTACAAATATCTCTTCTCTTTCTAATAAGTTATCACTATTAAAGAACAATCTCTGCATTTTCTTATCATTGTCTAATGAATAATCACAGATAAGGGCATAGTTTTTGTTGAATGCTCTATAGACCTTTACCTCGACACCAAACTTCTCTCTAAATAAAACAGTCAAGTCCTCAACTTAGATTCGCTGAGGCAACTTATCCAAGAAATAGAGAAATGGCTTTTCGTCTGTTAAATAGTTGTTAATAGTAGACTCAGATTGAACTGATTTCTCCTTTATCTATTACTCCACCTCAGATGAAGTTGTTAAATTTAAACTTGCTCTGATACTAGCCATAGGTATCTTATTTAAGTCCATCAATTTGAAATTATCATTTTCCATGATTAAATTCAGCCCCATAAATTTGTTCTAACCATGAGTTCTGGTCATTAGCTTTAGCCATACAATACCAGTCATCAAAGCATCGAATCCAGCATCATGATAAACATCCCCAGTTAGTTTATATTCATCAAAATTTTCATTGATCTCTATAGTCTAGTCGTATTTCCATCTCTCCTAATTACTTGAGATTTCTTAATAAACATCTGAAAGACTACCTGCAGGAAACATATTTTGCAGATCAAGTCTGCTATTAATCATATGCTTGGTATCACATATTTGAGGTAGAAATGAATTCAACCTCAGCTTAAAATCCTATATGTTATCTGGGAGCGGCTTGTCAAACTTTTCGATTAAAAACATCAAATCCATGATACCATTGTGTGATATCACTGGCTTTTACAAATCTCTCATTAGATTAATGACTCTTGTGAAGCCAAGCCTATCTTAACTTTCACTGCTCTTATTAGGAATAGTATTAATTGATTTCAAGCTTAAAAATTCGAGCAGACTCTAATTATTAAAATCATCTTTGAACATCTAATCTATCAATTCAGCATCATTAAACAAGTTATCTATATTTAAGCTAGTAAGCTCTCTATGTTTATTTTCTAACTCTACCCATTAATCATAGGTCTTTCCGTTTAGGTAATTTAAACCATTTTAAGCTGAGGATTTTCCACTTTAAAATTATCTTTAAGTTTCTATGAAATAATTTATCCTCATTTATATTATATTTTCCTCATTTTTAACCTTGTATATAGAATCCTACTACTATGAATGAGTTAAAAACATCTCTAAATTTTAGGTATCTAGGTTTAAGTAGAATTCCTTTGTAGTCTAAAGTCTTAAAAGATTATAGATAAGAAATACTGTTTTCTTTTAGTCTATGTTCTTTAACGATAACCTATAAAACTCATCTGATTTGCCTTTAGTGTTAAGATGACTTTTTTAAATCTATTACAATATTGGAGTTATAAAGCGAGATATCTCAGCAGATGGATGAACTAGAGTATTTTATCCCTAATTACTATCTTCAGTCATATTAACTCTTTTTGATTAAATTACTTTGTCCTATTCATTTGACACATAACCTACAGACTCGTAGAAAAACTTGTTAAAATCGAATTTATTGTCAGCCAAAAATTCAAATGAACCAGTGTTTATGAGATATTTTCTGTTTATTTGCATCATATCATAGTTCTAAGGAGTAATGTAAAAGTTAAAAGGAAAACACTCAAGCTTTTAGCTTTCCTCAATGTATTTAAAACCGCAAATTCCCATCTAAGTTGGAATATATTGTCTAATAGACTGGAGGTACTTCCAATATCTAAATTGATAAGAGTCTGTTTAGTGATTCATTAGATCGTGATGAATAGTCAACCCAGAGAACTCAAAGTCAAAAGCAAGGAAGTCGCTCTTCCTTAAAGTATGGACGATTAGTGGCAATGATTTCCTGTAATTAAATTTTGTGATGTTCATTAAATTTATAAAAACTTTTAAACTTTATAATTAGATGATCAAGCTTGATGGGGTTTTGGGGTTTTGGGGTTTTGGGG